AAAGATGATACAGTTGATGCATAGATGATACATGATGATACAGATATGCAAGTGGCAGAATAGTATGCAAGGTTTTCTTCCATTTGATAAACGTATTTTATATATTTTTCTTGTAGACAGTCTCACTCTTGTTGCCCAGGCTGGCTCACAGCAGCCTCTGCCTCCTGAGTTTAAGTGATTCTCCTACCTCAGTCTCCAGAGTAGCTGGGATTACAGGCACCCGCCACCACACCTGGCTAATTTTTTGTATTTTTAGTAGAGATGAGGTTTCACCATGTTGGCCAGGCTGGTCTCGAATTCCTGACGTATGGTGATCCACCCACCTAGGTTTCTCAAAGCGCTGGGATTGCAAGTGTGAGCCACTGTGCCTGGTGATACATTTATTTTTAAAACCCACTTGTAGATTCACTGAGTATTTCAAGGCAGAAAGCCGGGAGAGGAATGAGGAATCTCGGATTGAGGGGTGAGTAATCTATTCCTCCAAGTACCCATTCCTTTTTTAAAAAAATCTTCTTTGTGACCAAACAATTGCTGATCCAGATCCTCCTGGCAGAGTCCCCACCAGCCCAAATGAGGCTGTCCGTCCAGTCTACTTGCTCCCATGGCTAGTGGCCACCCCACTTCACGAGCATCTCTGAAGGTACAGAGAGACCAATGGAAGTGTTGGCATTAGAGTCTGAGTATTAAGCTCTGCTACTTAGCAGTTGTGAGAGCCTGGAGAAATATTCAACCTCCCCAAAGCCTCTGTTCCCTTATCTGTAAAATGGTCAGGAGGCTTTAAAAGAGAATGTGTTTGCATTAAAGTCAGATCCGCGGGGCGCGGTGGCTCAAGCCTGTAATCCCAGCACTTTGGGAGGCCGAGGCAGGTGGATCACGAGGTCAAGAGATCGAGACAATCCTGGTCAACATGGTGAAACCCCGTCTCTACTAAAAATACAAAAAATCAGCTGGGCATGGTGGCGCATGCCTGTAATCCCAGCTACTCGGGATGCTGAGGCAGGAGAATTGCTTGAACCCAGGAGGCGAAGGTTGTGGTGAGCCGAGATCGCGCCATTGAACTCCAGCCTGGGTAACAAGAGCGAAACTCCGTCTCAAAAAATAAAAATAAAGTCAGCTCCATCATGGGAGATCCAGCTGGGGTCTTGGGGATGAGGGGGGGTACCTCTGTCCATGGTGCTGAAAGACGGGCACTACAATATAGGAAATTTTTATTCATTTATTTATTGAGATGGGGGTTTCGGGCTTGTTGCCCAGGCTGGAATGCAGTGTCACAATCTCGGTTCACTGCAACCTCCATCTCCCAGGTTCAAGCAATTCTCCTGCCTCAGCCTTTAGAGTAGCTGGGATTACAGGTGCCTGTCACCACACCCAACTAATTGTTGTATTTTTAGTACAGGCACGATTTCACCATTTTGGCCAGGCTGGTCTCGAACTCCTGACCTTGTGACCTGCCCACCTCAGTCTCCCAAAGTGCTGGGATTACAGGCACTAGCCACAGTGCCTGGCCAAGATAGGGAATTTCTACACAGACTTTTCTATCCAGGCAGGAGAGGCAGCAAAATCAGTGGTGCCAGAGACAACTCTGTCTGTACCCACAGCCTCTTCAAGAGATAGATGCAAGGGGAAGGAAGAGTGGATGTATACCACAGACACCGACACACACATACCCACAGGCATATACAGGTATATGTGTGCACAAAGATACAGACACACCATGCACAGACAGAGACATACACAGGCATGCACTCATACATGCAAAGACACACAATTAACATGCATGCACTTCTCTAAGGATGGCCTGGAGTACAGCAGCTCCAAGATGCTCTATAAATGGGAGGTTTCCTGACAGAACAAGCTCAGAAAATGCTGCATTCTATCACTTACTCCTGCCCTGGACCCCGGCCCCATCTGGGTGTACAGAATCATAGTGAAAAGCTCTGGGCCGGGAGGGTGTGGGGCTAGTTTTATAATTCATCCAGTCAACTAAATCTTGGCTCAGCACCTTCTATTGTGCCAAGTACTGTTCTGTGAAAACTCTTGAATCCGGCTGGGCACAGTGACTTGCACCTGTAATCCCAGCACTTTGGGAGGCTAAGGTGGGTGAACCTCTTGAGGTATGGAGTTCGAGACCAGCCAGGCCAATATCTTAAGGTATGGAGTTCGAGACCAGCCAGGCCAATATGGTGAAACCTGGTCTCTACTACAAATACAAAAATGAGCCAAGTGTGGTGGTGGGCATCTGTAGTCCCAGCTACTTGGGAGGCTGAGAAAGAATCGCTTTAACCCGGGAGGCGGGGGTTGCAGTGAGTCAAGATTGCACCACCACACTCCAGCCTGGGCGAGAGTGAGACTCCATCTCACAAACGCACACATACAAAAAAGAATCCAGCATTTTCCCAGGTTATTTGAACACAAGATCCTGTTTTCTCCAAACATCAATATTCCCTGGAACCTACTCTCCAGGCTACCCTTCGGGAAATGGGGATATATGGAGTAAACATTTCCAGATGAATGCTGCCTTTAGGCTGGGGAGAGTAAGCCGGGTGGAGGGTCCCTTTCCACTCACTTGTCTGCCCCCCACCCCTGGGACTGCCTGTCACACCTGCCCCATGCCCAGGACTCCTCCATTTCCTGCCTCCTGGGAGCCCCCTTCCTTTTTTTTTTTTTTGGACAGTTTTGCTCTTATTGCCCAGGCTGGAGTGTAATGGCGTGATCTCGGCTCAGTGCAACCTCTGTCTCCCAGGTTCAAGTGATTCTTCTACCTCTGCCTCCTGAGTAGCTGGGACTACAGGCATGGGCCCCCACGCCCAGCTAATTTCGTATTTTCAGTAGAGACAGGGTTTCTCCATGTTGGCCAGGCTGATCTCAAACTCCTGACCTCAAGTGAGCCGCTTGCCTCAGCCTCCCAAAGTGCTGGGATTACAGATGTGAGCCACTCCACCCGGCCGGGAGCCTCTTTCTGTCCCTTCAGGCCCTTAGCTCGGTGTGTCCCCTCCCAGCCACTCCCACCCCCAGGAGGGCAGAGATTGTGCCTGTTGAGGTCACTGCTGTGCCCCCAGGCTTAGCAGAGTCCCTCCCAGGAAAGATGTGCCCCATAAACATCTAATTTGTTAAAGCATTCGTAAACATGGAGTGCTGCCCAGCCTCACCTTGCCGTGGGTGAGCCGCTCCAGCACAGGTGCACGACAGGGCTGACAGCAGGTGCCATTAGAACCCGCATTCCTTTCTCTGAGACCCACACAGCGCCCAATAGGCACAAAACCGGTGCCCAAAAGACATTTGCCGTATGAGTGAGGGCTGGCTGATGACCACCCGAGGGCATGAATACACCGATAATGGATGCCACGTGACACCAGAGCCCAGGTCCACTGCTGGGTTCAGTGCAAGCTGACACCATGGTGGTTATGTGAGCCGGCTGAGTTCTGGATTACAGAGTGAACTGCAGCCTGGGGGATGAGTGCAGAGGCTGGATTAGAGCCGGGCTCCCCTCCCGGCCTCTTGGCTCATGCCTGGGAAGGAACAGCACCTCTAGTGAGTAAACACAGGCTTGGGAATCCCCTCCCCACACAGTCACACAAGGCAGGCAAGCTCTTCATTCCACAGGGCAGGAAACCAAGGGTCGGAGAGTTGAGGCCACTTGCCCAGGTTCACACAGCTTGATGGGGCAGGGAAGAGACTGGCCCTGGGTCTTTCTTGCTTGAGGTGTCGGCTCCTGCCATCATTTCCCGGGTCAGGTAGAGAAGGCAGGCCTGAAACTCTGAGTCCCTGACTCTTACAGGGCACCTCTCATCCTCCCAGGCCTCCAGGAGCGTTCAAGGCCAGAGCTCCACAGAATGATCATAGGGGCACTGAGCGACGCTTCCTCAGTCTGGCTGCTCTGAACAAGTTTCACCCCCTCCTTTCGAGTGACCTGAAATTCCGAAATAAACTGAAATGCAATGCCAGTTATCTCGGCAAGGCAATGGCCACCTGAGAACATGCTTTTCTGACCCGCATTCACTCCCTCATCCTCCAACACATCCTTCGGGATCTGTAGACCTTCAGTAGCCCTGGTTTCTGAGTCCCCATCCTCCTGATGAGGCCCCAGGACCCTGCTCAAGCACGTCACAGTGTGAAAGGGCAGATTCAGGGCTCTAACTGGAAATCCAACTTTCTCCTTCAAGTTCCTCTCAACCACCCAACCCGGAAGTCAAAGACGCCTGCCTGCTGTGTGCCTCCTTCCATGGCTCCTGAGTAACTGTGTCTTGGCCAAGTTGGAATCGCCCCTTTGGGACTCTCACTGCAGCCTCCCAAGGCCCCAGGAACATAGGTCCTCAGGACCTGGGCTGTGGGTCCAGGAACCCTGTTGCCACGGGTGAGTCCCCCCCAAGCGCCCACACAGCCCCACACCTATAATGAACAACAGCCCTCACCTGGCAGGGCAGAGATGCTCCATGTGACCCAGTCCCGCAGGCATGCACAGTGCCTGAAGTGCCCTAAGCGCTGGGCTGGACTGTGGCATCCCTGCCCTCCCCCGAAGGCACTGGTTGGCTTGTCCCCTGCAGCAGAGACAGCTGAGCACACCCTCCTCCCGTGGGGGTGTCCTGTCCCAGGCGGTCCCCCTCTCCCAGCCTTCTTGGCAAGTAGAGGCAACTGCAGGACAGCCCCCACACAGGCCCAGGCACGGAGATGTGCGCCTTATGCAGGCCGAGCCTTCCTGGAGGCAGGTTAGGGGTGGGAGTCCACAGGCTAGGAGAGCAGAGGAAGCTGGCTGCCCCTGTGTAAGAGCGCAGCTCAGGCTGTGGGGCTCCTTCCACAACAGCGAGCAGACATGGCCGCAACCACGACCCATTCGCAAAGGGCTTCCAAGCCCTGTGAACGCTGCCACTGCAGCGAGGATACTCGGGCCAGGCTGCTCCTGCCCGGTGCTCTCCATGGGACCCTCCCACCACTCTGCTGCTGCTGCTGCCCCAGCAGAAGTCTCTGTTTACTCCTCCCAAACTCAAAAACCACGCCGAGGGGACGTTTGGATAGTGCCATTTATTGATCTACCCCCGCTTCCTCCACCAGGCCTACCCAGGCCAGGGACAAATGGGCACCCGCCCCTGCGGGGCTTCGCTGGGCACAGGGGCAGCCTGTGCTACTGGAATCCAGGAGGAAAAGGAACGACTTGAGCTCTAAGAAACGATGGGACCCAGAGGGTAGGAAAAAAAATAAAGGATTTTGGGGGAGGAGGCGGGGGGAGTCAAAAGGTGGGCTGATTTAAAGAAAATTCTAAAAAGGGGCCCCTATTTCCCTTCCCTCTCTGGGAACCTCTAAACTGCAAAGGGCCTGATTTCTCCCTTCCTTGCAGCACCCTGCCCCCGGGGTGGAGAAGGAAAAAGGCCTTGCTGTTTGAGACCCTGGCTGCTACAGTTCTTGCCAATGTCCGTCTCTGGCTCACAAGCCGAGAACTTAGGGAGGGCGGGCCAGGCTGAGGGGGCAGAGTGTCAAGGCGGAGAAGTGAACTGGCCCTGACACCCCCGGTGCCCACGTGGACAGTGAGGGGGCAAAGGGACGGGGACCCCGGACACCCGCCGCGGGGTCCATCGCACCCTTGACCACCTCTCCCTGGGTCTCCTGGTCTTGCACATGGTGGTCATTCCCGCCAAGCCCGAGGGGCCCTGCCCGCCCCCGGGCCCCCATCCCTACCGGCCCTCCCCAGCGCGGCACTCAGGGCACCGCCCACCCACACCCTCCTCTTCCTCCTCCTCGTCGTCGTCGTCCTCCCCGCCGGCCTGGTAGTAGCTCTGTCCGCAGCTGCTGCAGACCGCGGGCGCGCCCACCGCGTGGATCCTCTTGTGTCTGCGGAGCGCGGCGCCCTGCACGAAGCCCTCCCCGCACTCCACGCAGATGTGCGCCGGCTCCTCGCCACCCGCCGCCCCGAGCCCGTCCCCGTGCTGCGCCCGCTGGTGCGCCAGGAGCCCGGCCCCGTGCCCGAAGCCCTTCCCACACTCCAGGCACACGTACGGCTTGGGGGCCGGGGCGCGCCGTGAGCGGGGCCCCGCGGCCTTGGCCCCCGCACCTGCCATGGCTGCCGCTGCGGCCGCGGCCCCCTCACCCGGCGCGCCCACCACGATGATGCCCTCGCCGTCGCCCACCGGGATGGCGATCTCGCCGTCCGCCGCCTCCTCGGGCCCCTTGGCCCGGCGCACGCTGGCCGCCAGCACCTTAGCTGCCACGCCGGGCCCCGACAGCTCGGGGTGCAGCCGCAGGTGGCGCGCGAGGCTCTTGGGCTGGCTGAAGCCGCGGCCGCAGCGCGGGCACACAAAGGGCTTGAGGCCGCTGTGCGAGCGCCGGTGCTTGGCCAGGCTCTTGCTCTGCGTGAAGCTGCGGCCGCAGTCGGGGCAGGTGTAGGGCTTCTCGCCCGTGTGGATGCGCTGGTGCTGCATGAGGTTGGAGCTCCAGCTGAAGCGCTTGCCACACTCCAGGCAGGCGTAGGGCTTCTCGCCCGTGTGGATGCGCCGGTGCTGCACCAGGTGAGAGCTCTGCGAGAAGGTCTTGCCGCAGTCAGCACAGGCGTTGGGCCGCTCACCCGTGTGCGTGCGCTGGTGCCGTGTCAGCTTGGACCAGTGGCTGAAGCTCTTGCCACACTCGTTGCAGATGTAGGGGGCGGGCGGCCGCGGCCGGGGAGGGGGGCCGGCTGGGGGTGCGGACTGGGGCGGGGACAGCTTGGTGGGAGGCCAGCTGGGGACGTCGTCATCATCCATGATAAGGATGTCCACTGCAAGGCAACACGGTAGGAGGGGTGGGTCAGGCAAGGGCTCCACCCAGGCCTCGGCTGCCTCGCTCACCACGGGGCTTTTCCAGGCTCGCCCTGGCGCGGGACCCGCCCTTTTACTAGATACTTATTACCCCTCTCCCCAACTAAGAGTTAAGACACTTGGTTTACCCCCAAGTTCTAGAACAATGCCCTCAACATAGAAGGCCCAGTCTGTACACAACCAGTCAACATAAGAGGGGAGGGCTGGGGATCCACACAGGGCTCCCAGGAAAGGACCCTGGGACCCAAAGCACCCGCCTGGACGCAGGGGTACAGGATGAGGAAGGCCAGGGCCAAAGGCTAAGCTGGACAGAGGCCGCAGGGCTTGAGTGCAGCCCTGGACACATGGCCTGAGCCAGATGGTGGGTTCGGCACCCTGCACTGGTGCCCTCAGGGGAGTGGTGATGTCAGGAAGACAGTCCTGGTTACAGGTGGAGTGGGCAGGGGCAGTGCACAGGGAACGGGATTGGACGCCAGCATGAAAGCCCTGCCTCACAGCCCGAGTACAACCCCGCTCTGCAGCCTCCACTGGAGGCTCTCGCCAGCCCCCGATCGGGGGGCTCCTGTCTGCTTTGGCAGCACTTATGCACACTGACGACACCCTCATGCAGCCAGCAAGGCCTTTCCTGCTCTGCACTAGGCCTGCGGGGGTGGGGAGGGGTGCCTCCCCAACTCCTTGCTCCTCAGAAGGGTCTGTGTGCAGCTTCTGCATTTGCTCTCCCTGCAGGGCCTAGTCCAGACCTACAGAATCAGGTGCAGGGGGCCCCAACAGGTCAACCTCTCACCCCCATAGACACCCCAGGTGTACCCCAGAGTTTCTTCAAAGCATGAATCACAACGTTCTCACTAATTACCTCACTATACACTGTAAGCTCCTAAATCTATCCCAGCACACAGAGCCCAGACCATCTCGGACACCAAGCTGGCAAACACACGAGGAAGGACCGTGACATCCCCTGCATGACACACTTCCACGTCCATCAAGTCCTCATCGGGGAGCCATGGAACTAAGCCTTTACCAGGAGAAATAGAGGCACTAGGAAGTTGAGTCACAGCCCACAGCCACACAACTGCAAAGTGGCAATCCCCAGAAGCACGTTAGCAGTGTGGGTCCAAGAAACGGCCGCCCACCGCTACATCCCCCACCCCCCACACAGCACACCCTACACTTGCCACAAAGTGGGATCCTGCAACCAGCAGCATCGGCACCACAGAAAACATACTGAAAATGCTTACGAACAGCCGGGTGTGGTGGTTCTCCCCTGTAATGCCCACCTTTGGGAGACCAAGGTGGGCAGATCACTTAAGGCCAGGAGTTCGAGACCAGCCTGGCCAACGTGGTGAAACCACATCTCCACTAAAAATATAAAAATTTGCCAGGTGTCGTGGTCCACACTTATAATCCCAGCTACTCGGGAGGCTGATGCAGGAGAATGGCTTGAACCCAGGGCGTGGAGGTGCAGTGAGCTGAAATCGTGCCACTGTACTCCAGCCTGGGTGGCAGAGCCAGATTCTCACACACAAAAAACCTGCTTATGCTCAGGCCTCATCCAGACCCACTGTTTGAGAAACTCCCTGGACCGGGGCCTGTGCTTCAGCAAGCCGCCCGGTGATTCTGATGCCAGCTTCTGTGTGAGAATCACTATTCCAAGTAGAGAGTACTCCAATATAGCTCTTCAATCACCTGGGGCAGAAGAAAAAACTCCAGGTGAAGTCAGGAAGCAGGGAACCTTCTGGAGAGAGCATGGAGCCCCTGCACTGCCAACATGAATCAAGAAATTTAAGTTATAAGCACATTACTTAAAAGACGTAGAATTAACTCGCATCAGAAGCTATTTGCCCCGGGGCAGTCAGTGAAGGGGACAGAAAGGGACAGGTAGGAAAGAGATTTGGTTATCACTGTAAACTCAGTCATACTATCCGAACCTTCCAAGTGCTGCTACGCTTTAAACTCACTTTGTTTTCAAGGTTGTGAAGAAAGTATAGCAAGGCTCCCTGGGAACTCGGCTGTCGTGAAGACGTGAATTCTGAACGCAACCCTTGTGACACAGTGGCAGGTGAGTCAGGGGCACTGGGGCAGGCATGCTGTGCGTGCAGAGTGGGGAGGAGAGCACATGGGAGCCACGTCCTCACCTCCCATTAGAGCTGTGACTCATAAAGCAATTACCCGAGCTCCTTACCCAGGAACAGGGTGAAACCCAGAGTTCGTGAAGGGGCTCCTTACTCTAAAGGCAAGCTGGGAGTAGGGGAGGACAGGAGGTGGGAACTGTTTCCTGCTTCAGCCCATGGGCAACGTGGCTTCTCTACAGGTGTCTGTACACTGCTTTAAGTAAGCAGGGTTAAATGGACAGGGTTTAATTACTTAAAAGAAGGCAGGGCTCTTTTACAGCTTGCAGATTCCTGGGCTCTGGCACATTTTCCCACACTGCACCTCAGGGAAGCCAGGAGGAACCCGAGTGTCAGAGGGACAGGCCACTTCTGACAAGTCTGCGTCTGCACTGAGCACGAGCCAGGACAGGCCACTCCGCTTCCTGCAGCTGCGACGGCAGCCTCCCCCTCACTGAAGCGAAGACGCTAACAGCTCTCTCCACCTCACAGCACCATCTGTAAAGGGATTCAACAGGTTCCCAGAAAGAGAAGAGCACATTGAGGAGCAGAGAGTTCTCACTCCATTAAAAAAATAAGTAACCAGGAAGGCCAGGACCACTCTGCAGGTGGCCACATTTACCCTTGGGGGGGGGGAGGGACGGGAGTGTCCCCAGACGCCTAGCCCTGGGCTAAATGTGTTCCACGGATTACCACGTTTAATCCACGACCGACACCATCACTGCGCTTCCATCACTGACTGAAGGACTCAGCTCAGGTCCCGAGGGCATGGGGGGGGGGCCCTCAACTCCACATTACCCAAAGCAGGACCTCTGCCCCGGGGAGCTGCAGTTTCATTAGAGGTTAACCTTCCAGCACAACAGGGGCAGCCAGTAACACATCCAACGCAGAGCTGGAGAGCTCACCACCTAAGACAAACCCTGGGCTGGGCAGGGGTCTCCTCCCTGTCCCAGCGGCACCCAGCACCCCAACTGTACACACTGCTTTTGCTGCTTTTCTTTTTTTGAGATGGAGTCTCACTCTGCCTCCCAGTTTGGAGTGCAGTGACGATCTCGGCTCGTTCTAAACCAGGGGCCCCCTTTGGCATCAGGGATGGGCTTTGTGGAAGACGGTTTTTCCACAGACAGGGCAGGGAGGTAGCGGGGAGATCCATCCACGGATCTCAGAAATCTCTGGAAAAGTGCCTGAGGTGCTTTACAAAATCCATCCCCAGCTTCACCGTGGTCTTTCTCTGGGGCTGGGAGGCTCTGCCGCCTGTCTGTCTTTCTACATGGCGTCTCCCCCGCACGCTGCATCCACACGTTGCCGTGTGAACTGTGGCTGCGTGATGTCCACAAGGCCTGCAGCCTGCCAGATGGAAAGTATTTCCTCTCTGGCCCTCTATGGAGAGGTCTGCTGAGCCCGGGCCAGCGTGGGGCCTGCTGTGCTTACACAACCATAAGACGCAGCCACACCTTATTCTGCAGGTCTCACGGGAGGCACGCAGCCGCCGTGGACGGGAGGGAGGCCGGGAGGTGTCAGCGGCCATAGTGGGGTCGTTGTGGGGCCTTGGCGAGCAAACCTGGGCCCCACGTAGCCCACAAATGAGTTTTGCACAACCCAAATAATACTATACTAAACAATACACGTTGACAATGTCCAAAATGTGAAGGATTTCACAAAACCCAAACTGGCCTCTCTGCCTGAAAAGTCAGTGTCGGCCCGTGGGTTCCCCAAACTCCTGTGCCACCCCTGGTCTAGAGTTTCCTGCCAGGGAAGGTCACAGGGCTGTCCAAAAATCACAATGGAGGGTCCAGGCTCTAAGAAGGGAAAGGGGGCATCCTCAACAAACGGGGGTGCTGCCAGGCTGGGGGCAAGGAGAGGAAGTCAGGCAAAGAGGGTGGCCCCCAGGGGTCTCCACGATCATCCAGCGGAAAGGAAACTGGGAGCCACAACCCCAGCCCCCCCGCCTCGACAGCTAGGAGTGCAAGGATCAGTCAGGGGTCAGGCGCTGTCATGGCCCCCCTCACCCCCAGTGAGAGAAAAACGGGTAAAAAGAAGGCTTCCTCCCACCTGGAGGCAAAGGAAGCCAGGGCCAGCTGGGAACTAAGCTGCTCACCTGGATTCTCATGACTGGCCATCTGCTGGTCCTCAGAGTCCAGCGGCCCCGGAGACCACGCCTCTTCCCGCAGCTCCATGTCTGGGTCCCTGTGAGAAGGGGACGAGATGGAAGGACAGAGGTTACAGGATGCCAGGCTACACCAAGGGCCTGGCAGACCCGGGCATGGCAGGCACAGGGCCTGGCAGACAAGGCATGCAACACCTAACCAAGGACGGCGGGAAATGGGCCGGAGCTGACCTGCCTGCTCCCCACTGAGGGCCCACCAAGGCCAAGGAAAGGACTCAGGGACACACACAGGCTGCAGCTACTGCCACTTCCCGTCCAGCTCCACCACTCCCAGCCAGACCTGGGGCTGGCAACCCCACCTTCTGCCTCAGTCTCCCCACTGGCAAGACGGAGAATGTGTTCTGGCAACTGTCCACAAGACAGTGTCCATGCGACGCTCACGCCAACCCAGAGGGGACCAGAGTTCCCACACACAGCAGGAACAGGGCAGCAGGCGTGTGAGGGTCTCAACACGAAACCAACCCCAGCCACACACTGAGGGTCTCCACACACCACCAACCCCAGCCACTCACTGAGGGTCTCCAAACACCACAGCAACCCGTCCACACACCATGAGGGTCTCCACGCACCACACCAACCTGAGCCCCACACACACGCAGCTAAAGCGGGCAGCAGAGCCTGGGCCACGTGCACGAGCTGTCGAAGGAGTTCATGCCTCTTCTCCCTTTTACAACAGGCTCCCTGACCAGGCACGGTGGCTCCCACCTGTCACGCCAGCACTTTGGGAGGCCAAGGGAAGTGGATCAGTGGAGGTCAGCAATTCGACACCAGCCTAGCCAACATGGCAAAACCCCATCTCTACTGAAAATACTAAAATTAGCTCAGCATGGTGGCACATGCCTGTGATCCGCTTCTCAGGAGGCTAAGGCAGGAGAACTGCTTAAACCCAGGAGGCGGAAGTTGTAGTGAGCCAAGATCACACTCCAGCCTGGGTGACAGATCAAGAGTCTGTCTCAAAAATTAAACTTAACAGAAAAACAAAATGAAACCAGCTGTGAGGCAGCCCTTCCCCCACCCTCCCACCCCGCACCCCACACCCTCCAGCAGGTGCAGAGGGAACCTGAACTCTGGCACAGATCAGGGCCTGGCAGGGCCACGACCAGCATGCCCTCCCAGCTTTCCAAACACAGGCCAGGGTTTCATAAACTAGGAGCGCCTCAGCAAAACTCCATGGGGCGGACACACAGGGCTGCCAATTTCCACAGCCAAATAAGGGCAATTTAAAAAAATGTCCTGCCTGCCAAAGGCAGCGTGTTTAGAGCTGCTCACCAGTCCCAGAGCTCTTTGTTCCCTCTCCACGGCTTCACTTGACCAGCCTAAAACAAAACAGCTCCTGCATCCCACAGTAGGGCTCTGGGGCTCGGCCCACCGAATCCCAGCACCTGCGGGAGACAGGGCTGCAGCAGCCCGGCCTCTCAAGGGAGCCTCCTGCAGGAGCCATGAGAAACCTGCCTGAGGAGCCACAGCCTCCCAATGCCAGGTCCAGCGCTCATACCCCAGGGCCCACACTTCATTAAAAACAGCTTCACTGACCTCTGACTCCCTTCCACAACACTCCACACTTAAAGAGTACGACGCAATCATATTTAGTACGTTCAGTTTCACAGCCATCACCACATCAACTTTACAACAGCCACGAAAGAGACCCCGTGCAGGGCAGTCATCCGCATTCCCCGGCCAGGCCGCCCTGCATTCTCTGAACCCCCTTCTGTCCCTCTGTACTGGCTGCCATGTGCCCTGCCCAGGAAAGGGGCAGCACCTGTCCCTCCGTGTCTGTCCTCTCCCACAAGCGTGGCGCTGCGGCGTGCCAGGTGATTCGCTCCTGTCTCGGGCTGAACCCCACCCTGTGTGCAGCTGGCCACAGTGCGCCACGCACCCACGCATCGCTGGTGGACTACTATGGGCCTTGTGAACACTCCAGGTCAACACTGGTGTCCATCTGTATATTCCTGTGGATGCTCATTTCTGTCTCTGTGGGGAGGAGACCCACAGGCCCGAGCCCCCAAGGGTTTTCAATTCTGTGTTTGATCAGAGCTGTGCACTGAGGTGGAGGTGGGCACAAGGCTTGACCAGCCATGAGCAGCCTGTTCCCCAGTGTCACTTCACTCCCAGGCGGGCAGGACTCCCTCCTCGCAACAACCTGAACACCAGAAGAGAAACCCAGGCCAGGCCCCTAGGCTGAATGCTCTCGGTTCTGAGGAAGTCTCAGCCTGCACCCATCGCCTCTCATTCAGGGTGGGGTCTGCAGACCAGCGTGTGGGAACGGGGCGGGGGGCGGGGGGTCCACTGGAGCACTGGCAGAACCCACCTGAACCGAGTTTCTCAGCACTATCCGGGTGCAGAAGGGACCCAGCCCCACTGCTGGGTGCTGTCCACCCACCACTGAGGAAGAAGGTGAGAGTCGGATGAGAACTCAGAACGTGTTCCATCACGTAAATTCATGTGCACAGATCTGCTGTGTAGGTCACTTGGCAGCCCTGGGCCACCCCATCCCACAGTTCCAGGCTCTGCTCTAGACAGCTGACCAACTGTGAATCAGGGTCCCCACAGCCCTCGGGGTAGGTCTGACCGCTGTCCCCATTACACAGATGAGGACACGGAGTCCCAACATCTCAGTGGGGAAAGGAGAAGGGAAAGGCAGGGCGCAGAGGCACAGTTGACACACAGACCATCAGGCCCCAAGTCTCTGCTAGAACCACCCACCCCTACATTCCCTGCTGATGCTCTACTCAAATCCCACGCAGGATCCTGCCGGCCGCACTCTCCAGGGTCCTCATTTACTGAGCGCCTGTGAGGACCAGGAGACACGGGGTCACCAGGAAAGATGAAAGTCACTGGAACACATGGAGTCACTGGGAGCCACAAAGGTCACCAAGAGACACGGAGTGACCAGGACGGTCTAAGTCCTGCCCCCAAGGCTCCCAGACAGCAGGAAGGAAGCACATCAGGAGGGGGCCAGGGGAAGGAAGGGACAGGCAGCTCTGATAGGGAGGCTGAGGGGGCCCTCAGAAAGGAGGCACCCGGAAGCAGGCCCTGGATGGGGGCGTGAAGAGGAGTCCGGGACAAGCTGGGTGCTGCAGAAGAGGCTGCAGCTGCTGTGGGACGGTTCCTGCCAGGAGGACTGCGAGGCCTCTGAAGCACAGGGGATCCCTGAGAGGTGGGCACTGTTCTGATGCTTGTCTCACAGATGTGGAACTTGAGGCTGCAGGGCCAGACCCTCGGGTTCCCTGCAGCACATGAAGAGCAGCGCTGGTGGCAGCACCAGGAGCAGGGTCTGTGCAAGCACAGAGCCCCAGGGACTCCCAGGAGATTCAGGGCTTCAGAAGCAGGAGGCACTAAAGGTGGCCCTCCCCGCTGCCTCCTCTGGACTCTATGTGAGGCCCCCCTCCTCAGGGTCCCCACCCGCCTGCTCTTCTCTTCCTAATCCTGCTACTCTGCCACTCTCCATGTCCGCTTAGCTGGCCTGTCCTCCCGGGCTCCTGTGATGTCGGTGCCCACTCTGACACCTATGGGTCCCTAGCACCCAGGGCAGCACCAGGCACGGGCAGGTGAGCACACCAACAGATGGGTCTGGGCAAAGCATATGCTGGAGACCCGACTCGGCAAATGCCAACACCCAGTCCCTTGCCAGACCCACTCAGGAAAAGGTGAGACCCACACGGAAGGACAGGCTGACCTCCCCTCACACACTCGCGCAGGCTCTGGGTCCCTGGGATGGAAGCGTTCAGGCTAAACTGCTGTGAACATGCACCCAGCCCCTGCTCAGGCTGGCTCTGCCTTTCCAGAGGCTGGGAAAGCCCACATCGCAGGAAATGCTTCTTGCAGAGAGCTGCCAAGACAGTGAGGTTCCGAAAGGGGTAACCAGGGGGAACCTATCAAACCCGCAGCGGGAATGGACAGAGATGGACAGAGTCACCCCTCCTCCACGGGAGCCAGCAGGGAATGGTGGCTGGCACACCTCATACTCCCAGCATCAAGAGTGAGTGATTGGCCGGGTGCGGGGGCTCATGCCTGTAATCCCAGCACTTTGGGAGGCCGAGGTGGGTGGATCACCTGAGGTCAGGACTTCAAGACCAGCCTGGCCATCATGGTGAAACCCCATCTTTAAGTGAGTGACCTCAACCTTTTTATGTTCATGTTCCTAATATTTTAATAACAGGCAATTATGTCTTCATCAAGAGGAAAGGCCTAAAGGGGTGTTCTGGACAGCCACTGGGCTACGAATCGGGACTGGGAGGTGGCTGCGTGCTAGGGGGCCAGCCAGTGAAAACGCCAGACAGAACAGGTCACCCCAGGGCAGCCCCAAATGCACGTGGCCAACAGCAGGTGCAAGAAGGGGGCTCTGCCTCCCCATTCCTTCCCGACAGCAGGTGAAACCCCACATGCAACACACCCTCCATGTAGAGGAAGAGGACGCCTCATCACCAGCACTGGGGAGCTGAGGCTGAGAGACACCTGTGCAAACCAAGCCTGAGCTCTCTCAGCCTCCCCACATATTTCAGAAACCTGTTCACTACTGTTCAGTCGCTACTCTTGGGCATGGAAGCCCTCAGGCCTAACCGCTTCGGGGATCTTCAGGTTCCCAAGTCTCCTATGTGCCTGCAAAAATAACATTCGAGAGCTTTCTCCTGTTATTCTGTTTCATGCCAACCTAATTCGCAGATGCTGCCAGAGACCCCAGGAGGGGAGAGGAGTTCGGCCTCCCTAGATGGGTCAGAAAATTGTATGCATCTCAAGACTACACACCACAGACCATAAAAATGCCTCAGGACTTCCAGTGCAAGAAAAAGAAAAAAAAGAAATTTAAAAAAAAAAAAACGCCTCAGGGCCTCAGAGAAACTCACACACGGCTGAACGGGCCAGCCACTTTGGAAAACAGTCTGCTGATTCTTCAAATGATTAAACAGCGATATCCTGTTTTTCTTTCTGAGACGGAGTCTCATTTTGCTGCCAGGCTGGAGTGCAGTGGCCCAATCTCGGCTCACTACAACCTCTGCCCCATGGGTTCAAGCAACTTTCG